AAAAAAGCGATGTTCCCTAAATCATAGTGCCATAGCTAAATTCAACTCTCTACTCAGGGGCTCAGCTTGAGGCTCTGTCTCAAAAAAAAAAAAAAAGCGATGTTCCCTAAATCATAGAGCCATAGCTAAATTCAACCCCCAAGTGGGACATGTGACAAATTTCCAGAAGAACAACTCAGAAGGGGCCAGTTCTCCATCCTGGATCACGGCAGAGTCACATAATAGCACTCAAGGTCTGCCCAGCCCCTCACAGCTCACAAAGTCTCACTCGCAGCCCCTGAGCTCCTTCCCCCCTCAGCACAGCCCAGGGTATGGTGAACAGTTCCCACTATTATCCCAGGCCTGAGCTTCATGCTGTGAAACACCACTTTATTCAAACTTCACAGGAGGGATGTTAGGGGAAACAAGAGCTTAGAGAAGGGCCCCTTAGCAAATATTTACTAAATGTCTATTTTGTGACATCTATGTCTCTTTCTCTCACAATCTGCTAGGAAAGGTAAACATTACTGCCTGGGAAACATAGCTAGACACCCCACACACACACACAAAAAGAAAAAATTAGCTGGACATGGTGGTCCATACCTTCACTTACTCAGGAAGTGGAGGTGAGAGGATCACTTGAGCCCAGACATTTAAGCTGAGACCCAGAGGGTGAATAGATGTGACTTGTCCTGGTGGCGCCTGGCGTCAGCTTGAGGCTCTGTCTCAAAAAAAAAAAAAAAAGAAAAAGGAAAACTTTTGACCTCCAAAGGTTTTGCCTGTCCCCAAATCCATCCCTGCAGGCTATTTGACCCTAGCCCTGGGCACAGTTGATTAGTCAAGGGGTGCCCATGTGACTCATCTGGGTCTATGAAACCCTTCCCCGAGATTTGACAACCTGAGGGATAACCTATTTTTACCTATTTTAAAGCCCTTTGTTTTCTACTCCACATTCAAATGCTGTCACTCAAAGCAGATATTTGTGCAGCCACAGGAAGGACAGGCATGGGCTATGAAATCCCTGCTGAGAATGGCAGGTAAGAACTCTAGCTTTTGGAGTGAGACAGTCCCAGGATCAAATCCTGCCTCCATCACCAATTTGAGGTATGATCTTAGGCAAGTCACTTGCCTTCTCTGGGCTTCTGTTTTCTCATTTGTAGAATGGGACACAAGCCTTGTAAGTCTGTTGCAAGGGTTCCATACATAAGGCTCTTGGCATAGGGTGAACGCTAACCCCAGGGAGTAGAATGTAATGATCTATGCCAAGGGAATCACCTCCAGTCCTAGCAGCTATCAGCCATCAAGGAGGGGTGTCTACCAGATAGTGTGGGATACAGCCTGGATCAGACCAGCCCTGGGACCCTGGAGGAGTCATTTTACTTCCCTGAGCTGTTTCCCTCTCTGTACAATGAGGATGTGCTACATAGGTCACATGTAGGCCCTTCCTTGGCTGGGCCTAGGAAAAGAGGCCACCCCACTTCCATACAGCCCTTCATATACCTCCCTTTGGCTGTACCAGGCCAGTCCAGCCCAGCTGGCAGCTCCTGACGTCAGCAGCTAATCCGGGAAAGCTGCCAGCCAGAGATAGGGATGAGCAGCAAAGGAAATCAGCAGGTGTTAAGGTAGGTGCCCCAGGTTCCCAGCCAGCTCTCCCTGAGCTCCCATCAGCTTCCCTCTTCAGCAAATCCTGCCAACCATGCAGCTCAGACCCCTTAGGATCAAGTAAAGGCTGAGCAGGAGACTTATTTTAAGCTGTGACTCCATCAGCAAGCGCTGAGTCACACAGTGAGCCACTGCTTCACCTCCACAAAGTTTCTCCAAACCGATAAGGGGTCCAGAACTGGAGTAGGCTGTGGGAGCGCCAGTGGAGCCTTGGTCTGCTGCCTCCAACTGGTTCTCTTAGGGGCTGGGACAGGAAGTGCCTTTCCCCGTTCCTGCCTCCTCCAGCCTCATAGCACCCTAGGGTGGTGTCAGGGTGTGAGGGTCTTCCCCTGAAAGGTATTTGTCAGAAACTGAATCCCCAGTGCAATGCTGAGAGGTGGGGCCTAGTGGGAGGTGTCAATGGTGAGGGCACCACCCTCATAGATGGACTAATGCTGATATAAAAGGGTTTGAGACTCAAGTTCCAGCTCATGATCCTCTCTTGCCATGTGGTAACTGACTTCTACATCTTATCCTGCACAGTGAGAAGCCCCTTGCCAGATGGAGCCCCTAGATCTTGGACTTCTAGTCTCTAAAACTCTTAAGAAATAAATCTCTGGCTCGGCGCCTATAGCTCA